TCTTTCTCTCACTTCCCCCTCCTCTAAAATCAATACATATTTTTAAAAAACCATCCCAAATAAGGCAAAAATAAATAAATAAATAAACAATATACAGAAAAGAGAACAATGTGTTAAGTAAAATGCATGTAGATGATTGGTTTAAACGAAGCATAGGCCCTGGCTGGTGTGGCTCCATTGGATGAGTGTCATCCCATGTGCCAAAGGACTGCAGGTTCGATTCCTAGTCAGGGCACATGCCCAGGTTCCCAGCCTGATCCCCAGTGGTGGGCATGCAGGAGGCAGCAGATCAGTGATTCTCTCTCATCACTGATGTTTCCATCTCCATCCCCCTTCCTCTCTCTGAAATAAATAAAAACATTTTAAAAAACCATTTTGGAGGACAACTATCAATCTCAATGGAGAGGTACATCAATAAAACTTGAAGATACAGGAAAATTTCTCAACAAGTTATGGAAAAATATTTTAAACAGGCCACATAAAGCGCACTATAGAGCTAATTATAGTAGCTGGAGGAAATGTAAAGGGTACTCTTCTCTGAGCGACTACAAGAAACTTTGGAAAACATTTTTGCATTATCTATTTAGACTGAAGTTACACACACCCTAAGACACAGCATATTCGTTCTGAGGTATTCATCTTATCTCTATATTTTCTCCCCCCGCCAAAAAAAAATAAGGGCACTTTTGCACCAGAAAAGATGTCCATGAATTTTCATGGCAGCAGCATGCCTAACAATCTAGACTGCAAACAATACAAGTTCAATTAACAGTAGGAAAATCTTCCATACATTCAAACTATGGCATGCTATGGGGAAAATGCCACCTTGGCCCAGCTTGCAAACTAAAAATGCTTATAATGTTTTAATATTTTATTTAGTTAGTATTTTTTCAGGTTATAAGAGAATGTGTTTTTTTAAAAAATATATTTTTATTGATTTCAGAGAGGAAGGGAGAGGGAGAGAGAGAGAAACATCAATGATGAGAGAATCACCGACTGGCTGCCTCCTGCACACCCCCACGGGGTTATCAAGCCTACAACTCAGGCATGTGCCCTTGACCAGAATCAAACCCGAGACTGGTCAGTCCGCAGGCTGACACTCTATCCACTGTGCCAAACCGGCTAGGGCAGTGGTTCTCACTGTGGGTCGCTACCCCTTTGGGGGTCGAACAACCCTTTCACAGGGGTTGCCTAAGACCCTCGGAAAACACATATATGATTACATATTGCTTTTGTGATTAATCACTATGCTTTATGTTCAATTTGTAACAATGAAAATACATCCTGCATATCAGATATTTACATGACGATTCATAACAGTAGCAAAATTACAGTTATGAAGTAGCCACGCAAATAATTTTATGGTTGGGGGTCACCACAACATGAGGAACTGTATTAAAGGGTCGCAGCATTGGGAAGGTTGAGAACCACTGGGCTAGGGCGAGAATGTTTATTTAGAAAGTTACAAAGGCAGTAGAAGTGAACCAGTTCACCTGCATAAGCTCAGGAAACAAGTCAGAGGCAAAAGAAGGAGCCCTTGGAGCTTAGGAGAGAAAGGCAAAGGGAACTGGCCAGGAGGGAAGAAGAGGGGGAAGGGAAAGGCTCAGAGGCGCTCCTGAACAAAGACACATTGTGTGAATTATATGTGAGAGACCTTCTGTGGCTTGCAACTCCTTAAATATTTACTGTGTAAGCATTATAGAATAAAATTGCCCAACCCTGTTACAGAGCAAAAAAACAACAACCCAACAACCAACCAACAAAAAGCCTATCTATATATTGAGTATAAGAAGCCTAACATGTAAAAAAAATTCATGATGTATGATTGGTTGATACAGTTGAAAATAGGCACAACTAAATAATATATAAACCCTTTGTACTCCGCTGTCCCCTCTCAGGGGACATTGCAGTTTATTAGTGGTTACGGGGAATTGAGTTATTTCAACGCAACTTTTTGAGACATGCATGTTTCCCTGAAGTTTTATCTTGAAATGGCACAAGAAATTAAATCAAAATATCGTAAAATTACTAAGATATATACAAGAAATGTCAGCGGGTTTTGTGTCGGATTAAACAATAAACTACATATTCCCGATGTGGGACAAAGAAAACGGGACTGCATTGTGTGTTCTAACAGGAAAACACCTGGTGGCAGGCGTCAAACCACTTATTACTGTCAAACATGCACTAATCAGCCTGCAATGCATATTGGGGAGTGTTACAAAACTTATCATACTGTACAAAATTATAAACAATAAAATATTGTTTTTTTTGCAAATATACATTCCTCGATGTCACCCAATTCATATAAGTCCAATATCATTATAATACGTTACTTGGGTTCCAAAATATACTAAATAATACGAGGGTCTGTAAATGC